CTCCTACTGTCTAAATTTTATTCCGATTCATTTATTCCGTTTTACATAAGATGAAGTAAATAGTTTAAGTCCTCTGTTCTATTAGTTTCGCGTTAGCATTATTTTTAAATGGGATTTCTCAGGTAAATATCATACGAGATTCCCCCCTTATCATTTTATACTGACTACCGCTGGACGATTTTATTCAGCTTAGGGGAAACTCCAGCTGCCAAAGAGTTAAGTAGATTAATCTCCTTGTTGTCTGTCTTCATGTAAATGTGTATTGAAAGATTCTTAATCATTCATCTCTGAAAAGATCGTTAGAATCCTTAATGACGTCTTCTGAACCAGTATTAAGTTGCTTTTATTCCACTTAGGATGTCTTGGAGAACAACAACGTTGAAGTGGGTTTTATATTTATATTGGCCTTGGCTTCAGGCAGAAGTATATAAAAATTTTATGCTCTAAGTAAAGATTCTCAGGTAGTTTCTTGATGCTCAGTTAGTCTTTGTATAAAATCTTATATATATATATATATATATATATGCTGATAACCACAAGGAAAGAAGAAAACACGAAGTTCCCAAGCGCTTTCGTGTAATTCACATCTTCAGGGGTGAGTACAGACTGTACTCACCCCTGAAGATGTATATATATATATATATATATATATATATATATATATATATATATATATATATATATATATATATATATATATATATATATATATATATATATTTCATGTAAATCCCACAATGAAAACGTAGATAAGATAAATCTTGATAAAATCACACGGAAAATGGAAACAACGGAGTACCTTAGCTTTTCGTCTTTATTCAAGACATCTTCATGAGCAACTGGATTACATGGACAGAGAAACCCAAATATACAGGGTGACCTAAAAACATGAGGTCAGGGTCCTCAACATTGACATCCTAATCCCCACACCAACACACACGTAGAGGGCTTAAGAGAAAGGTGACGTGACTGTGGATTATTTTGTGGGTCCCTTTTTTCTGACCTGACCTGTCTAGTCACGTCACCACCCTTCTCTTAAGCTCCTCTACGGTTGTGTTGGTGTGGGGATTAGTGGATGTCATCATTATGACCTGACCTCATGTTTTTAGGTCACCCTGTATATTTAAGCCTCTCTCTGTCCATGTAATCTAGTTGCCTCTGAAGATGTCTTGAATAAAGACGAAAGCTAAGGTACTCCGTTGTTTCCATTTTCCCGTGTGATTTTATCAAAATATATATATATATATATATATATATATATATATATATATATATCAGGCGAGGAAAATAAGAGACATAAGCTTAAGCATCAATTGAGTGTTAATAGTTCATCAACGTCTTCTCATATTATTTCTTCAGGAAGAGGGACACCTGCTTCCACTTCCCTCCCTGCTGCTCCCCCCCTCCCCCTCACACCCCACATTCTCTTTACTTCACTTCACCTCGCTATACCACCGTCCACCAGGCAAAAGATACTATCTAATAACAATATATTTTATTTCATTACATTTATCTATTTGTATTAATATATTTGTTAACTTTGATACCATACTACGTTTACTATTGCGAGTTTCCTATAACCAAATACAGCGTGCCACACTGCCCCTGTAAACGCACTAGTGAGGGGAACTGTACTTTCCTGTATGGGATACAACTAGGTTCAAGCAATTGTTTGCCCTACACCTAGCCTGAGCGTTCATCCAGTATCATTTAAGTCCCATGCAATCTGTACACCATCCGGATAATTTTTACTCCATTATCCTTGGCTTGGCTCTCCCGCGCTGGCACATCCTGTCAATTCAGGAGCGGCTACCTAACCTTATTTGGGGCTGATTAGGTAACATTTGAGACACTTAGTGCTTTTATATATATCAATCTTTACTATGAGTTTCGTACTTAACTGACACTGAACTGAACTCCATAATTGCCAACTAGACATAATCCTGACAGCTCTGTCCTCTTGTTCAACATTATTACTGTACAACCCATGTTGTACTGCTCCCCCATTATACTTATGTTTTTCAATTACACTGTTATTTATGTATATATAAATAAATAAATAAAATTAAATAAAAAATAAATAATAAATAAATAAAATTAATATATATTGAAGTGATAACCGTGGTAACATTATGAGATGTTCTTATTACCACCATGCTATTGTACTATTCCAGATGTTACTAAATGTTACATAATACTTCCTTGAGATATATGTATAGTATATATCAGGTGCCTAAAAGAGAGCAAAGGTTCTCAACTGGCTGAGCCATGTTATATTGTTATTATTATCCACTCTGTGTCTGTGTTTTTCTGGCTAAATAAACTGTTTGAATTCAATTCAATTTATGCTGAGTTTCACAAGTGTTGTCAACATTCACTTGTTATAAGCATGATTTCTTTGAATGCTATCAATTTTGGAGTTTTCAATACAAAATTCAGATTCTACATAATCAAAAACATTGAAATCAAAACTGAAATCAATTAAATTGATAACACAATAATTTTTATGCCGAAAAGAAAAATCCGACATCCATATTTGGCAGCCATCTTTGAAAATGGGCGCATTCTTGGAATTTTGAATGTTCAATCAAACTTAGATTTGATAATTAACCCATATTGAATCTTCATGTCAACTTTCATACTGTATTTGTATTACCATTTGCAAGATTCCCTCAATAATTGACACTTAGCCCCTCCGTTATAAATTCATTATCACACTGTCCAGAGCAGGGCATAGCGCTGTACACATGAGAGCTGCATTTCTGCATTTGTATCTTCCTTTACATCCCTTCTTGCATCCGCATCATTAGCTTCGGGCAAAGTTGTCCCGAGTGGCTTTCAGCTTTCTGGGTTGGTTCATCCCCAAGCTGCTGGATGAATGCACCTTGGTACTTTGTGCGTCGTATGAGTTGACTCAGAGCTGCCTTTGATAGTGGAATGTTCTCCATTTGTCTGACCTGTAGAGTGAACAGTAACTGGCGTGCATCATTCACGGATTCAACCAGGCCTGTTTAATCATAAAGTAGCACAGTAGAGAGCTCGAGTGTTGCTCAGTATTCTCCTGAAATTTTATTTTTTCTAACAGTTCTGAAAATGCACGTGTCATATCATCAAAGATCTTTCACACTTGCCATGCAGCTTTTTTGCCAATGCCTGCAAACGAGAACACGGTATCATAGCCACTATAAGCATGGAAAAGGACTAGGGTTGTGATCGTTGTGCTCCATTTCTTCTGGCAATTTCATGGACAGGTATGTATCGCAGATATTTTCCCGTCCCTGCATTTACCACCATATCAGTGTCAGTTGTTCGAACTAAGACTCTTTTGACCAGCAGGCACTGTATGTACAAAATGTAAAAAGATCCTTCCTTCGGCCTCCTCATGATTAGAAAGAGTCAGCACACTTGTGTCATGACTTTGCAAGCAGATGACATCCTTCCCAATAGTTGATATGAATTCTCTATCCGTGTGGAGCGCCAGTATCTGCTTTGCAAGACATTTAAACAGATCTCTCTTGTTGTCATCGACTTTTGAAAAGGCCTGCCAGTTCCCTGGTATGACAGAGTCGCCTTTAACTCGTCTTCGAAGGCCTGCTCCACCTGACATTCTAACTAGGCTGTGATTCTGTGTCTGCACAAAGGGCAAAAATACCTTGGCACCAAAATCATCAAATGTATGACAGGAAATAGGATTTAGCATATGAATAAGAGCTGCATCATCCAATACAGTGATATCAACATCTGGAGTTAAATCCTGAGTTTTTCCATGAGACTCCAAACTTTCAAGAAGATTGGATTTGCTTCAGTACACAGATTACCATTATTGGGTGCTGGTGGAAAAGGGGGTTCTTGTAAACAAAATAATCCAAATCACCTTCTCTTCTCAACATACAATGAAAAGGCCGGCTTGTCGTTCGGGATTAAGTCACAGATTTACGTGAATCTTGCTTTATTTGGTAAGCTCTTTGGACACCTCTGGCTACATCAGGATCCATGATATTTCTGGTGTCCAGCCTTACCAGATTCTGACTGTACTCAATGATTGTTTGGCAAACACTGTATGGGTAGATATATTTTGTCCGCGGTATTCAGTATTATGTTTTAGTAATGCTTTCGGCATTCTGGTAATTCATTCCCACAAAACATCCAACGATGCAGTACTTTAGGGTTTTGTGTAATTCCAATCACACCTCCATCATCCATTACCAGCGCATTATACTGTTCGTGAGCTTGATCTATAGAGACTTATAGAGACTTATGAGAATGCCCTCTGTTACTTTCTTACAACGAAATTGCCCTTTATGAATTCACTTGCCACAATGGGTGGGTCTGCCACTGACCAGCCATGTTCCAAACATGGACCGATATTCACCTTGCAATGTGGACATGTTCCGAACTAAAGAACCATGTTACAAGTTGCCCAATACCCTCTACATATAAGGTAACGTTACCTTCTCTTGTGGACCTCACAAATACCAGTACAGTGGTAGTTTCTCGAGATATGACACTGTCATCCAGAAATTAAACAGAGGATTTCCTTTCCTTCTAAGTTCAATCCAACAACCGAATGTGTCAGTAGCATTAGCACTTTGATATGCCTCTTGCAATAACATATGTAAACTGCAGAGGGTGACCTGGTGGACGTGTCTTATTTTCACTACATGTGGTACATGGTACCATTCCTAAACTAAACCACCTTCAAAGTGGCTCCAAATCAGAAAATGAGTCCATTATAGTTCCCCACATCTCCTAAAAGTCTCTTGCTTTTATGACAACCTAAGTTTTTTCTCGCATATTTGCCCCACTACTAACATGTATAGGCCGATAGTCCTACAAGAGTTTCCCTACTGCAACACCTCTGACCAAGCCTAGCCAGTATCACTTATTCAATTGACGTCACAAGTCGATTGATGCTTTTTTCCTCATATGTTCTGTACACCTCAATGACCACTGTGAGTTAATTATCTATTCCCTTGTCTTCTTTTTATTAAAACAGACCATTGTGAGAAACTGATGATATATTTATTCAAAATTTGACTTAGCTCATATACAGAGTATATACATACACTGGGCCATCCATCATCTATACAGAGAAACATATAGAAAAAAAGTATATGTTATAAGGAATTCATCCTGAAAATATGCCAATGTGCAGATGTAGTTCAGGGAAACAATGTCTTCCTTATTTTTACTGGTGATGTGCGTTTAGTCAAAACTCGTGGGAAAAGTTGAAAAAAATTCCAGTGATAAACCAAAACTAGTTACAGTATTCAGTACAGTAGTGTACGCCGTGTAAGAAATGTTAGAAAGGCATTACATTACTTCTGCCTTCATTACGACTGCCAATGTGTCAAAATCTGATAGGAAAAAATCCAAAAGAAAGGGGGAAATTTATAATAAAAATGCAAGGCGTATTAGCCAAGTCCTAAGACGAGGTCCAGAAACACGTCGGGAAGCTTAACTAATCTCGACGAGAGCGGCGAGAGCCCCGCTGAAGGCAGCGTTGTAAGTGCAGGACACTTCGTTGTGAACGTTGTCCTGGCGATCGTCAACGTAGTCGCCGTTCTGGGTGAAAAGGGACATAACTCCAGTAGCACACTTGCACCATGCATGAGAAAAAAAAATTGTGGATGGACAACCATATCATATGAAACGAGGAATCACACTGACACCTCTTGCTGGGAGATTCACGAAAATTCATTGTCTTATTTGTCAAACCTGTCTCACTCCTAAGCCGTGACCTACTAGAACTAACCTCGGCTGGTCCTCCAGCAAGAGCACCGTAGATGATGTTTGGGTTGGGGTCGGGGCTGTTGAACGCGCCTTCTGGTGCTGGAGGCAGGCAGGAAGCTATAAATATTTTTTTGTTAGTAATTAACTGCATAATGATATACACTGTTTCGAGATTCTTGTATCGCATATGAATAATTGACAAATGAAAACACTAGCGAGATATGAAACTTCGAAACGGATATCGCCATGCCAGGGCTCAAATCAGATCAATCAAAATTCGCAAACAGTGTCTTCAAGTATATGATGCTAACGTAGAGAGCCTTCTGACATTGTCCATCACTTCAGCGAGAACTTTACTAATGTTGTCACGCACTTTACAGTAAGACAATGATGGTTTATTCTGACACTGAAGGCGAATTAATAAATACTTCCTTATTTTTATATTTGTTTACCGCTTAATAGTGAATGATTATGTCCGGTTCTAAGCAAACGGAACCTGCAGATACGTTCTGTCTTAATATGTTGTTCACATGTTAATTTTGCTTAGGTGTAAATTAATGATCTTTATTACTGATACTCAGGTAATTTCCTTTTTTACAGCAGTTTGTCAATCTGACTGTAAGTGTCTCGTTCTTACTTTAATCGCATCATTACTAAAGTTGTAATATTAGTTTGTTTTTGTATCATAATATTCTTGTAAATTCAGTGTCCTGTACTTTTCATGTACAGGTAAGAAAATGAATGCCTTATATATATATATATATATATATATATATATATATATATATATATATATATATATATATATATATATATATATATATATATATATATATATATATTATACGAAGCTTGATATAGAACAGCTTCATGACCCAACTAGTACCTGACCATCGACCCGTGATTGGCTGCTGCACGACCACACCTCCACCCCCGTTATTCTATCTCCCGACTCGATGTTCCGGATACATTGGATGGCCCTTTGCTTGGGCTTATGGTTAGGCTCTCCGGAGCTCCGTATCTGTGTTGTTCAGATCTCGAACGGAGTTGTAATAAAGCGGTGCACCAGGGAGGAGGGCAGAGCATTCCGGGACGGACGAGGGTGTGGAACTGGTGGTAGCTGGTCGGTGGTCGGCGGAGCCGGCTGTGGTTGACAGCAAATTGTGTTACTCTGGCTTAGAATGTAATGTAAGTTTATAATATTTATGTACATTTCTATGTTGTAGGATTAGGGTGATTGTTAGGGTATTGTTTTATATTTATTTAACTCTGTTGTATGAGTGTGGCAATTGTTAATATTTGAATATTGCTGGTTGTTGGTGTTTCTTGTCAATATATTGTGCATTCCAACAGTGCGTTTGCTACTCCTCTCCTATAGCGATGTAGAATACCTGAATAAGACTGAATAGTGCAGGGGCAATAGGCTAAACATGAGGTGGAATGTAAGTAAACACAACGTTCGAGTCTGCGGGGGTTGGTTATTGCCCGGTTCCTTAAGTGTCCAGCTCGGGAACAAAAGCTCGTAACAATATATATATATATATATATATATATATATATATATATATATATATATATATATATATATATATATATATATATATATATATATATATATATATATATATATATATATATATATATACACACACTATTCTGTCATCAGCGGCTGGTGATTCAAGACGGAAATCATTGTAAATTGAGCAATCGAAAACAAGGAAATTTATTATAAAATAGTTGTTGGCTGGTTCTTTACCAGAGTGAGGTATGAGAGCGTAATAGCACTTTTGCTTTATATAAATATTCACCCAAAAGAAAAACACCAACTTATTCACCAAGTTATTCATGAAGTGAGTCAACATGTTGTTGGCAACATTCACTTAGCTTGTAACTCTCTCAAAGGTCGAGTGCAAGTCAGCTGATTAATCAAAACAACCGGCTCACTCTCACGCCTCTGAAGAGACAGAGAGGCCAGTTGATAATTACCACTTGGACAGGAATGTAAGACACGTAACTCAAGTGTTATCTCAAAGTGTTATTCACAACACTTCCCTGGAGAAAATTCATAATTTATTTTCTCAGAATATATCTGTGTATATAGCTGCTTCTGCAATAAACAGGGAAACAGCTATAAGGGTTTACATCAAACCCAGCCACTTGAAAAGTTCTTGAACGTAATTAAAACAATTAATGTGATACCAAAACAGCTACCACAATAGGCCTCTACACACCATGGTTAATTCCCAACTTTTTCTATTCCTCTAATTAATCATCTGATGAGAAGAGGTTTGGGGCATTCATTCTCATCAATTTCACCTCTTGCTCTTGAAAACCCATGGAGAGACAAAAATAACTGTTTTCGGGCGTTCCTGTTGGATCATTGTCACCTTAAGGTGCTTGCGGGCAGTGTGCCGCTGAGAGCTATCCAAGCAAAACAAGGCCATGATCAGTAAACACGAAGGAAATTTTAAAAATTAACAAACAAAAAATCAAGATTGGAACATGGAATATAAGGACAATCTATTAAATTAGAAAATATGCAAATGTTTGCAAGGAAATGAAAAGATTACAGTGGGACATTCTGGGATTAAGTGTATATTCTTACTTCATATCTTCAGGACGTGAAAAGCATGCGAGAGGTGTTGGTTTTCGTGTAAACCAAAAGTTGAGTAGCAATGTAATGGGATATTGGGCAGTGTCAGTTAGAGTTCTGTTAGTTAAGTATTATGCTAACCCATGGACTTGGTGAAGGAGTGAGGAGCTCCTTGAGAAATTCAAGATAGCTATCGAACGTATTAGGATGAAGGGAAGGAGCCTTATCATCTGTGGTGTCCTGCATAGAAAGATTCATAGCAATGAATGGCTGTCGAGGGCAGTTGGTGTCAACGGCAGTGTTGACAGATATTCCAAATCAATATCAGTCCCATTCATTGACAACTGAGACAACTTTACGGCAAGGGACCTTTGTGCTCGGGAGGGGTTACAATTATGGGGTGGTAACCCTGGCTGGCTCTCTCGAGAGGGGAGTTCAAAAGATGTCGAGATCTTTTAACTGCTGGGGGGAACCTGTGAACACAGAAGGATTGATTAGACTGCAGAGGTCACGGGTAAACAAAGCGAGAGGTTACAGAGAAATAGTGTTAGGAATGGCGGTAAAGCTAAATTAGGCAGGGAGTTAAAACCTAAATGCGACAAAGAGAGGACTCAAATGAGTCAAATCACGACTAATTTAAATGTCTATCTTCTACGCAAACAGTACAGTAGACGTATGAAAAATAAAATGTAGGAAATCAGGGCGTTGGTATGCACCGGAAAATTCGATATAACAGCAGTCACCATAACATGGATAAACATAGATTCACGTGAGTTACCTGTCGAATACCAAATTAAAAGTTACAATTATTCCATACCGATAGGCGGATTAGAAAATGAGGCGGGGTAGCAATTTATGTCAGGGATAATTTGAAGTGTGATATCGATAATGAAATAAAAACTGAACTAAATACAAAAACAACTTGGATAGAATTACCCGATGGTAAGGAAAAAATAATCATAGGAGCAATATGTAGACCTCCTAATCTCGTTAGGGTTGATAAGCAACTTATTTGGGATAAAATATGCAGGGCTCTCAGACATAGCAAAGTCTGAACAGTAGGCGACTTTAGCTTTTGTCAAATACACTGGATCAACCTTACGGGTAGCTCAGAAGCAGAGAATTTTCCGAAAACGGTTCAGGACTGTTTCCTAAGTTAACATATAAACGAACCCACCCAGGGGAATAATGTGCTAGATTTAGTTCTGTCAAACAGAGAAAACCTCATTAGTAATGCCCAGGTAAGAAACAAACTAGCTAACTGTGACCACAAAGAAGTGAGATTCAAAGTAGAACTTATTGTCAGTCGCAAGGAAAATTCCGTAAGTCCCATATTTCAGAAGGGCAAACTTTAAGAGGTTGAAAAGGCAGCTGAGAGAAAGAGTGCTACGTTTGGGAGTGAAGTATTTGACGTCAAGTAAATAACGTGATCTCACTCAATGTACCCATAGAGGGTGACCTCACTTTAGATGGTGACCTGACAATGATAAGCACAGAAAATATGACTATTGAGAGCGACCTGACCACGAAATGAGTTACTTAATGCGCAAAGGTAGAAAACTCAGATCAAATAACAAGGACCCCAAATGGATAAATATTTATTTAAAGAATATTATTGGACAAAGGAAGGCTATAGGTAGGAGAATAAATCGTGGTGAAGTTTACCTTCGCAATTATTAAAAAAGTATTGGAGTATTAGCCAGTAGGGTTAAGACAGAGATAAGAAAAACAAAGAGGTAAAATGAACTGAAGGTAACAAGGGAAGGGAAGTCAAACCGAAAGGGATTCTTCCAAATGTATCAAACTATAACTGGGGACAATATTGGACCATTGCAGTCAGATACCGGAGAACTAACTCATAACGATGGAGAAATAAGCAATAATCTGAACAGCTATTTTTTATCATTTTTCACGATCGAAAATAAAAAATGATACCCAAGGCACCGAATATCGACCGAGATAGTGAAGAAAATAGGTTAAGCGAGATATTAACGAGTAGTAATGATGTTAGTAGGAAAAAGATAAACTGATACTAAATAAGTTGCCAGGTTCCGACGAGATATTTGCCAGAGTATTAAAGAAATGTAAGGAAGAACCTTAGCAAACGTGTTTAATAAGTCATTAAAAACCAGTGTAATACCAGAATCCTGGAGGATAGCAAATGTGATACCGATTTTCAAACCACCTTCCAATTAGTTTAACACCACTTGTAGGTAAATTACTGGAAGCAATAGTTTCAAACTCAATTCGGATTCACCTCGAGAAACACAAATTGATCAATGATTCCCAGGATGACTTCATAAGTGAGTGTTTATGTCTGACAAATCTATTATCATTCTTTTCAACTATTTAGAAATGAGTGGATGATGAACACGATTATGATGTGGTTTACCACGACTTTAGCAAAGCCTTTGACAGGGTCCCCCACGAACTACTATTTGATAAAGTGGAGGCCCATGGAATCGGAGATGCTATGAACTGGATTAGGGCGTGGTTACAGGACAGGAAACGGAGAGTCAACATTAATGGCACTAAATCCAATTGGGGTGAGGTCACTATAGTATTTCCATGTTAACTTGGCCCGTAAGCCACGCCCCTCTTCTACAGTAATAGCTGATTGGTTCATAGAAAATTCAAACTAAATGTGTTCACAATTGATAAGCAGACCTGTTATTATCTAAAATAATGTTAAATATCTTGACTACCAAAAATGCAAATGATTTCAAGGCATTAGCACTTCAGAGAGGATGTTAGAAAAAAATTAATATTTAGAATAAAAGGTCGATATAACTACGCTCTTACATACGCGCGCATTCCGGGGGGAGGTAAAACGCTCAGGGGGACCAATCAGCTATTTGTAGCTAAAGACGAGGGGCGTGGCTTAGGGGCCAGCTTAACGTGGAAAGGGTATAGTGGAGTACCCCAAGGTTCAGTACTTGGACCATTACAATTTATTATATACATAAACGACATAGATGTAGGGGTAGACAGCAACATAAGTTAGTTTGCTGACGGCAATAAAATAGGGCGTGTAATTAAATCTGACGAGGACTCGGCAAAACTACAGGAAGATCTAAACAAATTTTTCTCGAGGTCTGAAAAGTGGCAGATGAAATTTAATATGGATAAATGTAAGGTACTTAGCCTTGTAGATGTAAACAGATAATCCAGAAATCAGATGAACAACATTCATATCGAGAAATCCGACTGTGAGAAAGATTAGGGAAATGATCTGTGCGAATCTTAAATCAAGACAACAATGCGTATTTGCTCAAAACAAGGTTAACAAAGTACGTGAATTCATGCAAAGGAGTGTTAGATACAAAACTAGCAAAGTTATCCTAAAACTATATCTTGAGCTTTTTTTTTTTTTTTTTTTACGGGGATTAGCCTACCCAGGCACAGGTCACTGACCCACATCGGGGCCTGGGGGGCGAAAAAGGAAATAATAATAATATAGTAATGATAATAATAATAATAATAGTAATGATTCAGATAAGTAAAATTTATAATAAAAATACAAAAATAAAAATAATACAATAATAATGATAACAATATTAATAATAATAATATTAATAATAATAATAATAATAATAATAATAATAATAATAATAATAATAGTAATAAAGAACCATACATAAATGAAAAAAATTAAAAAAAAGATCAAGAGTGAGAAACAATATATGTATGTTGTGTTGTCAATAGTAAGAGAAACAATTGAGACCCTGCAATTGTGTGTAAATGAGGCAGAAAGTCAGATCAGCAACCTGAGACTTGGTCATAATTTTCGTGGTGCCATATGGCAGCAGGGTCTACCATTAGACACATTATGCTTCCAATATCTTCCCAGGCGGTAGTACCTCACTTGGATTATGCTCTTCAGTTTTGGTCACCGTACTACAGAATGGATGTCGAATCCCTAGAAAGCATACATAAGAGGATAACAAGACTAATACAGGGCATTAGGAACCTTGAATATAGAGACAGATTAAACCAATTGAATTTGCACTCCCTCGGGAGACGTAGAGTGAAGGGCGATATGATTAAGGTGAATAAATGGAAGTCAGGGTGATAATAACAAAGGTACTTAATTTATCGAATCAGGAACGATCTCGTAGCAATTGATTTAAATTAGACAAATTTAGATTTAGATGCAAAACAGGTAAACATTGGTTTGAAAATAGAGTAGTGGATGGGTGGAACAAGTTACCAAACATCATCATTAACTCGAACACGCTGGGTAGCTTCAAATATAGGTTGGACAGATGTACGAGTGAAAAGTGTTGGGTGAAAACAGGGCTGCCTATTATGGGTCAAAAAGGCCCGCTGTAGTTTCCTCCATTCTTGTGTTCTTATGGTCTTAATACAGGCTTATGCACCAAAAAATGATAGTCTTAGAAAAATTTAATGAAGATTTAAAGAATGCAAAAGACACCGTAAAGTTTAAAGAATGTCTGAATACAATGGGTAATTGTAACGCAAAAGTTGGGAAAGGAAAAGTATCACTAGCAGTAGAACCACACGGGTTGGGTAAGAGAAATGAGAGAGGTGAAATGTGAATTGATTTTCGTAAGGAAACTAATATGATAATTGCAAATACGTGGTTTGAACAACATCTTTGGCATCTCTATATTATATTTGTGTATCACCCCAGGACAATGTAAGAAACATAGTCAGTATTCAAATAAATTATATTTTAAGTCAGGAAAATGAAAATAAATCAATAACTTGAGCCAGGACCTATCCAGGGCCAGATTGTGGGATCACGTCCCAGAAATTAAAAAGAAATGGTATGGACGAAATCAAATAGGAGTTACGTAAGCTCAAAACAGGAGCAGGGATAAAATATGAAATTGAAACCGAAAATTAGATTTCAGTATTGCTAGATGGTCACTTGATGATGCAGATGATACTGCTTTTATCACAGATAGTGAAGAGGCATTGCAAAAAATTCGTTAACAGCTTTATGAAAACATTAGAGGTTCACGGCGCCATAAGCTCGTTGAACAGGCTTTGTGTGAAATATAACAAATTCTAGGACTGCTTTTAGTATCCTGGTGGTCCAGCGGTTAGCGTTCCCCGGTCACAGTCATGGGCTTGTGGGCCTGGGCTCGAATCCTGGCGGGTTGAGGTGTTGATTGTACAGTATGTAGAAGTCCGCGTGCTTTATTGGGCTAATGAAATATATATGGATCCTCGTGTTTCGAAGCCAAATTTGGTAAAACGTTACTCTGACCACCTACGTGATACGGGTAGTCCCCATTAGAGGTTCATGGTGCCATAAGCTCGTTGAACAGGATTTGTGTGAAATATAACAAAGTCTAGGATTGCTTTTAGTATCCTGGTGGTCCAGCGGTTAGCGTTCCCCGGTCACTGTCATGGGCTCATGGGCCGTGGGTTCGAACCCTGGCGGGGTGAGGTGCTGATTGTATGTAGAAGTCCGCGTTCTTTATTGGGCTAATGAAATATATATGGATCCTCGTGTTTCGAAGCCGGATTTGGTAAAACGTTACTCTGACCACCTACGTGATACGGGCAGTCCCCATTAGAGGTTCACTGTGCCATAAGCTCGTTCAACAGGCTTTGTGTGAAATATAACAAAGTCTAGGACTGCTTTTAGTATCCTGGTGGTCCAGCGGTTAGCGTTCCCTGGTCACAGTCATGGGCTCGTTGGCCGTGGGTTCGAATCCTGGCGGGTTGAGGTGTTGATTGTATATATATAAATATATATATATACATCTATATATATATATATATATATATATATATATAATTTTTTTTTTTTTTTTTACCTGCCACGATGATGGACCCTCTGAGGGGGGTCCTTGCCGTAGCCCACCACGAATGACCTGCTGTAACGGGAGTTGTCGCCCAACAGTTGACCGATCTGTTCCCTTGCCCACTTGTGGTTAGCTTCTGTGTCCATACCATTCTTGGCCGTCTGAAAGATATGAAATATGTTATCAAATTCAGTCACAATGACTTCACTTACATTTTTTTTTGAGAGCGAGAGAGTGGCTTTCAAAGCAAGGTATTCAATTTCAATTCTGATCGACTAAATAAATTAAAAGAATTTATCTCTCCATTTGAAGCTTAACAAGTGACGAGCATATTCACAAGTCTATCATTCATATTTAGACTAAAAAAACAGTGATTTAAGTTTTTTTTTTGAGGAAGGAACTAACAAAGAGGGAGATGAAGGCGGCGTTGGCAGCGTAACCGTTGGAACCCTTGTCGCCAAGGAAAACAAGACCCTCCGGGGTGTACGGTGCTTCGTTCTTCAGCCAGTCCAAATAACTCTTGAGGGCGTCAGAATACACGTTGGAGTTATCCAGCAACCAGAAGAGTGACTGTTTTGTGAAACAAAAGATAGTTCGCTTCAAACAATTGGACAAGCTTTAAACGCTCAGTCGAACGTTCTCTTAGTGACATTTACTGCTGTGCAGCTTTGTCCGAAAGTCACTCAAAGAGGACACATGACCTCATTTTTTAATAGTTAAGAAAATAATAGCAATATATTAAACCTATAAAAAGTTAAAATAATGTTTATCTTAACATAATTAGAGTTTATATATAAGGTCGAGGGTTCGAGTTCTGGCGGGTGAGGTTGTTGATATATATATATATATATATATATATATATATATATATATATATATATATATATATATTTCATTAGTCCATATAGCACGCGGACTTCAACATATAATCAACAACCTCACCCGCCAGGACTCGAAACCACGATCATATGTGTGTGACCAGAGAATGCTATCAACCGTGCCACAAAGACACTAAAAGCAATCTTAGACTTTGTTATATTTCACACAAAGCCTGTTCATCGAGCTGATGGCACCGTGAACCTCCAAATGGGGATTGCCTGTGCCACTTAAGTGGTCGGAGTAGCATTTTACCAAATCCGGCTTCGAAACACGAGTTTCCATATATATTTCATTAGTCCATATAACAAGCGGACTTCAACATATAATCAACAAACTCACCCGCCAAGACTCGAACCCACGATGTCCACCCATCCGCTAAATTGACACAAGCATGAGTAAGGATGGGGAAGAACTCAGACTGGGTGCTATTGTGAAGGACACTGCCGTTCATGCCATCGTGGAGTTGCCTCACAATGGCGATGAATTTTGGTAGGCAGCCAAAACGGCTGAGGTTCTACCAGAAGGCTTCCCTGTTGACCGAGTCGAAGGCCTTGGTTAGGTCGATGAAGCCCATGTGCAGGTCACGACGCTTTTCTCAGCATTTTTCCTGTATCTTTGCGAGCAGCAAAAATCATGTCTATGGTGTCACGTGATGGTCTAAAGCCACATTGACTGGGAGGAAATTTTCCGCCTCAGAAATAAGTCTGTTTAAGAGGACTCGGGCGATAATCTAGCCAAGTACAGACAGCAACGAGATCTCGCTGTAGTTGCCACAGTCCGACCGGTCTCCCTTGTTCTTATAAATATTGACGATAGAGGCGTCTTTAAGAGCTTGGGGAATTTCTTCCTTTTCCCATATATTCTCCAGGAGAGAGTGGAGACGGCTGGTAAGGAAAGGTCCTCCTGCTTTATACACCTAGGCTGGGATTTCATCAGGCCCTGAGGCTTTGCTAGGTTTCATGTTTGATGGCAGTAGCTACCTCATCCAGGGATGGAGGATAGCTGAGGTGGGTCAGCTCTGGATGATGAGGAACCTGCTGGGGAGTCAGGACATCCACATCGGTGTTCCGGTTGAGCAATGAATGGTAGTGCTCTTTCCAGCACTGAAAGAGGCCTTCATCATCTTCAATTATGAAGTTACCGTCGGATGAGCGGATGGGGCTGTGCCACGAGTGATTGGCCCATAAAATGTTTTAGTGGAAATGAAGAATACGCGCATCTTATGCTGATCTGCATATTTTGTGTTTCACATACTTTATTTTTAAACCAGTCATTCTTTTGATTGCGAAGTTCCCGCTGGGCCACCGCTTTCTTCTTGCGGAAGGTGTCTGCTTTGGTTTGAGATTGAGGATTGTTCTGTCAGTCAGTTAAAGCAGCACATTTATCATCGATGAGTACATTGAGTGCCGGTTCATTTTCATGAAACCAGTCCTGGTGTACTCTTTCGATCTGGACGAGGGTCTCTCTGCAGGTTTTTGTCATAATATTCTGATAGTGTCGAAAATAACCCACTCAGCACTGGGATTTGCGTTGTTTGCTGTTGGTTTGTTTCTCAGCCCATGTTCGAGGTGCTCTCTGTAAGCATGTGCTACCGCTGGATACTCCAGACGCTTAGTGTCAAAAATTCTTCTGGAGGCTTGCTGCCTTCGTCGTTTTGGGGCGACGTGAAGTGAGAGCTTGGCTCTGACCTAGCCAATGACCAGTGTCGCAGTGTTCTCATCCACACATGGCACGGGTGATGAAGACATCTCGGCGATCTCTTTATCTGACGATGATGTAGTCAATGAGATGCCAGTGTTTGGATCGTGGGTGTTGCCACGAACTCTTGAACTTGTCGGCCTGCCTAAAAAAGGTATGCTGATAGTGAGGTTGTGTGAAGCACACTTGCTGAGGAATAGTAGGCCGTTGGGAATACACTTACCTAGTCCATTTCCCCCTATTTTTCCCTGCCAAATGTCAGCATCTCTGCCAACTCTGGCAATGAAGTCATCTAGGAACACAACCTTGTCTTCTCTGGGAATAGAGGTTAGCATTCTATCGAGGTCGGCTATTATTTTGATGTTATACCTAGCCTGCTCTTTTGTCACAAGAGCAGTTCTTCTTTCAGGACATTCATTTGTGCCAGTATCCAGAAAGTTCCTGACATTCCATGCAGCGACCATAAGAGGTTTGTATAGTTTATTTTTGCTTGGATCTGTGATTTTGATCGTGTTCTCGGCAGCATAAGGATGACCTTACTGGGTGCGATTGTCCAGTCAGATTGTCTTTTTTAGGCAGTCTATGCTTAGGGCACCTTTTCTAGCCGCCTTCACACGTGGGGTTAACAGTGGCTCCTGTCGACAGGGCTGCTCAGTTACACAGACAGGACTGGATTGCACTGCTGCCTAAATCCCAGTGTATAAACAACCATCTTATCAATGGTGCCCATGTGTAGAGTTGTGATTAGAGACTCCCGGCAGTCATCTCTGCCTGTCCCCGTTGCCACTGGTCCGTCGCTATGGGACTTTTGGGGGTATAGGGTTTTGATGATGATGAGAGGTATGATGAACTGGATGATGGCTGTGCGTGAGTTTAAATATGTGGAGAGGCTGGAGCGCAGACTGCAACCACACACCTTGGCTCTCCCTTTTCCTGATACAGTGGTGCAAGTGTTGCAACGACTGGGGAGAGGGAGAGTTGCAATGTACTTACGATAGCCCAGTTTTTTGGGTTCCTCCTTAATAGCCTGTCCATCAGGCATTGCCTTCGTCCGCCGATGTAGTCGTTGGGTTCCCAAGGTGGTCACCTCTTCCGCCTATACGGCCTTTGAGGTCTTACTGGAGCTCTGTAAGCATGTCTGCCTGGTGCGGGGTTCCACCGCAGATTTTTCGTTCGCGGTTTACACACGTAGCCTTATACCTACCAAGGTTAATTCGCAAGACTGCGGGGCAATGGTTGATAGGCGCCAGGACGTGTCCACTTGCCAGTGGGCCTATGCGCCGTCCCTCTGGGGCCCACTGCTACTCCGAGATCCTCTGCTTGTCTAGCCTGGGCCCACGAGGCACCCAGTTACCGTGTGTTGCCACGAGGAGGCACCGCAATCTTAATGGTGAGGATGTTGTGTACTAGCAGGGGAAGACTTATGCAAGTTGCTTCCCTGTTCGCCACGAGGGTTAGCTAGCGGCGGTAGCTGAAAGCGAGAGGGAGCAAGCAGTGCTTGCAACTTAACACTGACATAATGCTGCCACACTAGTCGCATTTCACCATCTTGTGTGCGAACACGCACACACACACACACACACGCAACATCTTTAGTCCTCATGGAGTGAGGATGCACTCCACACTGTTCCGCTAAGGAGGCCGTGGTCTTTTAAACCAAGAGACAGCTGCTAGCCTGGTCTGTCGGGCCTTCCCTTTCCCCATTTCATCTTCACCACCTAGATTTATCAACATCATCCCAATAATAATTCAGTGCACATATTATCTTACCTAGATTTATATCATATATATATATATATATATATATATATATATATATATATATATATATATATATATATATATATATATATATATATATATATATATATATATATATATATCTTGATATATGGAAACAATACTTAGCTTTCGTCTTTATTCAGACATCTTCAGAGGCAACAGTTGCTTATATTTGTGGATTTATATATATATATATATATATATATATATATATATATATATATATATATATATATATATATATATATATATATAAAGTGATAATTTCTGATGTCAATGGCGACCTGAAGTGGACCTCAAACATCCAAGGCCCCCTGTACACTCACCACCACTTTCACTGGATGAGAAGCCAATTAAGACTCCAAACTACATCAGGAGAGAAATGAGGACATCCTACTCCACCTAGGTGAGGATTTAAGAATTCCTAACTACATCACATGAGGAACAATAACGATATCTAAAACGCTTTGTGAGCTGAAGAACCTGCCCGGACCACCTGGTAGATGTGCTAAACATCTGCAGCTGCCGTATCTTTTTATATTGAAAACTTTTGTGGATCAGTGACCCACTCCTCAATTTCACCTTATGTAACTTATCATCTCTGTTTATTGTATATTTTCAGCCTTCTGGCTGGTATGTTTATCTCAATAAACCGTTAATTATTATTATTATTATTATTATTATTATTATTATTATTACACACATTGTATATGAGCGAATTTACTTATTGTATTATTATTATTTTTCTAGATAACTTACATATATTCCTGGCCTCTTGTCATCCCAGGAGAATTCGGTATGACTATCATTTAAGAAGTTGAACTCGTCCCAATGGTCTCGGGCGCTAGTGATGTAGCTGGGATCACGTGTGGCTCGAGCCAACCATAGCGCGGCCCAGCAAAGCTCGTCACCGTACCCCGTAACCGAGCTGAGGAGAAGTCAGTTACAGTGATTCATTCATGTGCTGTGGTTACTGATCTGTTGGTAATATTGACATTAGGGTGGTCCTTACTTCTGGGCAAAAAACAAAATTTGCCATTTTTTGTCACAGACCCTGGCAAATGTTTTCATTTGGGGTAGAAACATTGTCTGTAAAATATTTTTTAAGTATCTTAATAATTAAAGGTTGCTCAAGTCAAATGAAATTGAACAATATTATGCCTATGCTTAATGTTCATAACACATCATTTCCTAGCCCCCAAGCCTGCCCCCCCCCCCCACTTAGTCTAAGTGGGTATGAGCTGCTCAAGGCAGGGGTCGCATGAGGACCAGTCTCACTGTTCGTCCTTGGTGATGCGGCCTGAGAAATCTTGGACTAAGGCTACTCCTCTTTCTGCATGATCATTGATCACAGACAAAGCTTGTACACTGGCTTTTGCATTTTGGAAGCCAGGATCATCTTTCCACTGTTCTACTAGGAGGGCCAGGAAATCTGTATTCAAGTTGAGCTTTTTGAAAAATGACCTTGTGTTCTTTGTCGTGAAATCACAAAGGTTCTTCACTTGGAGTGTGTCTGGATTGATTGTAACCCGTTTGACATGCTTTTCTTCTTCAATAACGATGTTCATAGCTTCCAACATGCGGTCCTTCACTGCTGGGAGAACATCGTCATCAAAGAAGGCCAATGCAACCAACTCTTCTGACAATTACCAGAGGTGTCTCATCATTTTGTGGAAAGTTGCCTTTGATATGACATCGCTGATGGTACTGTAGTCTTGTACAGCTTTAAGCAACATCAGATCTCCTTTTGGTGCCTTTGCAGCAAGTGGAGCAGTTGTCCAAGCCTTCACATATATTCGGGCAAAGAAAATGCACAAATCTCTTAGTCCTCTGTTCTCCTTTGGAGTAAGCTTAAACTGTGAACGGAATAACCACACTTTGAAGGAATAAATGGTCTTTGCCATCCATCGTGCTTGGTGCATTGCATCAGGAGCAGAAAATCGTACTCCCCGAGAAGGTGATGTGCCAAGGAAGATGGAGGCCAGCTCTAGCAGCTCTCGATAATCATCTCGAAGCTGTGTCTCCAATAGAGCCTTCTCAATGAAGTTGGTTAGATCGTCCCTAACAGCTTTACCGATTCTTCTGCCAGATCGTCGGTGGAGGAGTCTTCAAACTTCTGCTTCTCAATTTGTTCCCATTTGGCTTGGAATCTTCTGAACAGCTGTATGTCAGGAGCAGCTGAGTGCCCCATTACAGCTTCAAAAGCAGCTCCAGCTACAAGTTCTAGTACATGGTGGCGGTAGGCAAAATATAGCAAATCACGACTCGGCAACTGCTCAATTTTGACACACACCCTTGTGGTGACCAGTATTTGAGCTTGTTGTATCAAAGCACATGCCATGCACGATGTCTGCAATGTGCCATTGCTGTAAAGCCTGCACAACAGCTTTTGCTTGTTCATCACCGGTACCAGAGGGAAGTTTTGGAACAGCAAGAAGTTGGGAGGTGCCATTGCCTGAGACAAGAACTGGGAGTCTGTCAACATGGCCCCCATGCCCCGTTAAATCAGGCATCAATTTACCATCCCAGTGAACAATTAAAACTGACTGGTTTGAAGTTTGAAAGGATTTCAGCTGCCCTGCTACTGCGATGATGCTGACGTTTCCTCCTCATGCTTGATCGATTCAGAATCAATTCACTGACATCATGGCCCAGACTCTGAGCAGTTTGGGTGACAATGTGCATGGCCATTCTATCTGAGGACTTGGTCCGATCTAATGCTGTAGAAAGTTCTGGAGTTAGAACTTCTTTTCGCCCACGCTTCTTGACAGTAGGTGGAGTTTGAAGTGCTGATGGGCCAGGAACTGGGTTGGATTCCTCAGAAGAAGACGTACTACTGCTGTCCAAGACAACGATGGCCTGGCATTTTTTGGCTTCTTCCTCTGCACTGTCTGCAGCCAACTTCCTTTTCATTGCTTTCTTGAGAGTTTTTTCTCGTCGTTTCTGTCTTTTCAGGAATACTTTGTCAAGAGATGACATTGTCCCACGACGCCCTTTTTCTCGTTGCGCTGTTAAGAAATCCTTATCCTCCTGAACTGTCATCATATTCAAAGCATTCACATGTGCAATGTCAAAGAGATCTTCAAATGTATCAGTGAACTCTTTCTCTTTCTGCTTTTGAGTTTCTGTCTTTCTTGAAGAGTTCTTTTTCAAACTACTCCACTTGTCAAACATTTTGTGCACTTGATTCACACAATCTGGTTTGTGGTGTGTGGGAATGTTTGCTTTTGTCCAAAATTAAAGAACTTTGTCTGTGACTTTCCCAGCCGCCACTCTGATGGTTTTTTTCTGTATGCGATGCAGGATTAAAAAATACTGTAACACTTGCCTGTTTGAAGGTAACTTTGCCCCTGTAATGTCATCACATAATGTCTTTATCAAATACACATTTTCTCGTGTTTTTACTCCTGCATTAGCTATTTTTACCTGAGGAATAAAGAAATGAACTATTAATATAAATTAATAATGAGAATACTCTGCAGAACTGTTTCTAATTTCCCCAATCATCAATCACGACCAGCAAAAACTCACCACAATCGTGCCAAATGCGACGCACTAGTGGTGGGCGTAATCAGCTACAAAGTAATCGACTACATCGATTACTTAATTTTTGACAGCTTTGAGCAACCTCTAAATATTAATATATTTAAAAATAACTCTACACACAATGTTTTGTCCTAAATGGACACTTTTAGCAAGGTCTGTGGTAAAAAATTCCAAAATTGAAAAATAAGGACCACTCTAATTGACATCCTAGTGATAATGATCAGCTGATGGTAGTGACCCCGGGGTAACTGACCTATTGGTGATACTAACTACAAAAGTTGATATTGTGTCCTGTAATAGAGCAAAGATTACTGTTAATCAGATACATCATCTTTGATTCATAAATTGCTAGACGTTATCTCTGTGATTAACATTTGAAAATCTATTAGTGTGTTTCTAGGAGGGAAACTGTTATGATGGATGAGTTACTGTGGGAGTAACAAAATGAAAGATATGAAGAAGACCTTTCATATTATAGAGGGTTTGAACAATACATTAATGACGGGCTGTAAAGTAGTCCGTAAAGTGTCTAAGCTCACTTAAGTTTAACTATATAAGTGTCCAGTTATGTGATAATACACTGTGGAATATAGGCTGAAACGAACACGGAGTCGTTGATATCGAGCTTAGTGTCCTTAAGCAAAAAATATCTGTCTCCATTTAAGCTTACATTTACTTTCGTTAGTATTTACCACCAAGTCTCGCCTAGTTCATACACTTTCAAACCCATTCACCAGCATTTGTTAAACAAAAAATCGCCATCTAGATTGTGTTGTCTGCAAAAACTGTCTGATTCTCTTCTCATTTTCAAGCCGAATAATTATTTCCTAAGCTTGTAGTGAGAGACTAAAGTATCTTCCTAGCACTGGCCAAGTATAATGAAATCTGACTTCTCACCACAGTGAATGGTGTCACTGAAGACCCCTCTTCTAGGTTCCACAGGTTTGCCAACTATTTATGGAATCCACACATGCATGTGTCGAATGGCTCCACCGTACTGTGATGCATTCAAGGAAACCCCGTAAAATAATTAAATTTTTACTGTACCTTCCTCCATCATTTGCAGTATTATCTCTAATTTATGCACTCATGAGAATAAAAAAACACGATGATGCCAATACACATCTTTGACGTAGTCCTACTTTCACTGTGAACCATTTTTCCTCTTCCCAACATATCCTCAATTACGTTTCACATTTTTCATGAAAACTAGGAACAACATTAAACAGTTTTTCTTATGCACCACACATTGTAACACTTCCCACAGAACTAAACTTAAACTGCAATGTTCCCAATCTGTATGTAACTTGAGCAATACCAAGCTGAGCTGTAATACAATTCACCTACATAATTTATAACGTGAAATATTCACAGTAAAACACAGCACATACGGGTAGGTATTTTTAGCATCCGGGATAGAGATGTCGTAGCTCTGACGGTAAGTGTTGGCTAAGTAGTAGAGTTGCATACCCACGTCCAGAAGATTTGCAGCATAAGCTGTATGGTCTCTCTGGGGAGGTAACATAAAGGGATTAAGAATGAGTGACTGTGTAATAAAAGAGTTTATCTGGCCTAAGTAAAACATGCAAGGAATGTAATATGTTCTACTTAGGCCAGACAGGAAAAGATCTTGCAACTAGAATTAAACAACACAAATACAGTGTTAGGACAGGCCAGGAGTCCAATGCTCTGTTTGTTCATTTGAGGGATAACAAGCATTGCATTGACTGGGATAATGCCTCCTCAATATTACCATGTAATTCAATTGATAGTAGGAACATCATAGAATCTAGTCTTATTAAACATACAGAAGCATTCAACATGAATTTGAGTAACGGCATGTACAAGCTGGACAATTTTGCAATTAAGAAGATTTGTAACCAGGTGAGAAGGCCAGGTCACCTGACCATGTGACCTGACCACCAACCGTTGTGTGCTATTTAAAGATTAGTAGGGTCATTACCTAATACCTGACCATTGTGGACCTGGTCTCACCCTCCTCTGTATATATACACCTTGGTTTGTATTTCTCTCTCTAGTCTGTACTCACCCCTGAAGATGTGAATTACACGAAAGCGCTTGGGAACTTCGTGTTTTCTTCTTTCCTTGTGGTTATCAGCATATATATATATATGCTTGATTATAACAACCACGACCATGATTATAACAACCCTGACTATGATTATAACACCTACGACTATGATCATAACCACGACCATGATAATAACAACCAAGACCATGATTATAACAACCACGACCATGATAATAACAACCAAGACCATGATTATAACAACCACGACCATGATTATAACAACCAAGACCATGATTATAACAACCACGACCATGAATATAACAACCACGACTATGATTATAACAACCGAGACTATGATTATAACAACCACGGCTATGATTATAACAACCACGACCATTATTATAACACCAACGACCATGATTATAACAACTACGACTATGATTATAACAACCATGACCATGATTATAGCAACCACGACCATGGTTATAACAACTACGGCCAAGATTATAACAACCACGATCATGATTATAACAACCACGACCATGATTATAACAACCACGACTATGATTATAACAACCACGACCATGATTATAACAACCCCGACCATGATTATCTCATATACTACAGGAATAGCCGTGTGTCTGTGTGTGTGTCTGTTCTGGGAGGCGAAACGGCACAACCGTTTTTCATCAAACTTGGTGGAAAAATCGCTAAAAATTCATAGTGGAACAAACCTGGTCCAATGTCGAAGGTTTCTTTAGAAAGGCATTAGTTAACAATTATATTTACGATGGAAAACAATGCAAGTTTACGGACTTGGCGCTCCCTCATTCGTTGTACACTGTCAGCCCACGATTGCAGTTATCGTAAGGCTTCCTCCTCCTCCCCCCAATTTTTTTCTTAGCCCACTTTTTTTTACTGTTGTTTGGATTAGTAAAGGACGGAAGATGAGTAAATAGAAGAATAAAGAAGGGAAAACAGAAAATAGTTAGAGATAACAGGTGGGGGGAGCTGAGTTTCATCATGCGTCTGGATGCGCAGTTTCAACGTTACCAGACGACCTTACAGCTACAGTGTATACTTAGTCCTGTGGGTGACTGTACAATGAAAAAGAGAAGAGATAAAAATATAATAACAGGAATGCATGGAGAAGATGACTACAATAGACACAGGGTGAATATAGACAGTGAAACAGACAGGAGGTTGACAAAAATAGACAGATTCATACATGCACAAATAGACAATATGGCAACTAACATGACAGACAGACAGTTGACTGACTGGTTCACATTAGACAAACAGGCAGACACGCGCCAACAATGGATAAGACAGACAGATTTGATGACACAAAGAGTATAGATGGGCTTACATTCAAACACCACGCAGACGAGCAGGGAGTTGGGATGGCAACAGAGAGGACGGATAGACTTGAGACAGATTAGAAGGCATTTATAAACAAGAATAACACCAAATTGACCATAGCTGCGTCAGTGAGGGTAGGAGGTCTTACATCCACCAGCATAAATAATAAGACGCATTGAAAACTAACACCCTCGTGCGGAAAGAACATCGATGGTCGGTCAGTCATGTGAGATGGGCTTAAGACTTACAAACTACATGATGACTATGATGACTTAACACAGATGATGACTTAAGCAGATGGTCACTAATCTAACCAGAATTAAGGTCACTTCTCTTCATAATATATATTATCTCAGAATGATCATCGGTGATTCATAATAATTTTTTTTATGATTTTAACCTCTCCTTATGGCGAATATTTCTTTAACTAATTATTCTAACCTTTATTCTATTCCTTCTTATAGTATATTATATACTGCAAGTATCACGACCATGACCATGATTATAACAACCACGACCATGATTATAACAACCAGGACCATGATTATAACAACCAGAACCATGATTATAACAACCAGGACCATGATTATAACAACCACTACCATACTTATAACAACCACGACTATGATTATAACAACCACGACCATGATTATAACAACCACGACTATGATTATAGCAACCACGACCATGAATATAACAACCACGACTATGATTATAACAACCACGACCATGATCATAACAACCACGACTATGATTACAACAATCACGATGATGAATATAACAACCACGACTATGATTATAGCAACCAAGACCATGATTATAACAAACACGTCCATGAACATAACAAGCACGACCATGAATATAACAACCACAACTATGATTATCACAACCACGACCATGATTATAACAACCACGACTATGATTATAACAAACGCGACCATGAATATAACAACCACGACCATGATTATAACAACCACGACCATGATTATAACAACCACGACTATGATTATAACAAACGCGACTATGATTATAACAACCACGACCGTGATTATAACAACCACGACCATGATTATAACAACAACGAATATGATTATAACAACCACGACCATGATTATAACACTCACGATCATGATTATAACAACTACGACTATGATTGTAACAACCACGGCTATGATCAAAACCACGACTATGATTATAACAACCACGACCATGATTATAACAACCACGACCATGATTATGTAGTGATGGGTTGTCAGACCGCAGCTTGCATCTCAGAGACAGTCCAGACTCGACCCGACATTAGGGAGGTCAAAAGTGTAGGGTATCTCTTGCGGCTGACCAAGGGTTATAAATCAGCCAGGCTCCCCTTCCCATGTCACACGGCCAACAAACATGTAAGAAGGCACCAGCCGACTCTCTCCCAATATACACATTATCCTACACCGCAGAAAGAAGTCCAGACTTGACCCGACATTAGGGAGGTCAAGTGCAGGGTAACTCTCACGGTTGACCAAGGGTTATAAATCAGCCAGGCTCCCCTCCCATGTGACACGGCACCACAACAAACATGTAAGAAGGCACCGGCCGACTCTCTCCGAAAATACACAATAACCTACATCTGAAAAAGACCAGACCTGACCTCACATTGGCTAGGTCAATGTAAGGAGACCCTTCGCCGCGCCCCCCCTCAACCTGACGGCTCGCCTCCCAATATATAGGACGTCCTAGTCCTCCCTCACAGAGATACCCGGGAGACAGAGCCAGAGACAGAGCCAGAGAGAGGCAGAGAGAGAGTGTGTCTTGTAACGAAGAAGGGCCAGCTACCACGTCCCGAGTCCTGCTCGAGAGAAGTCAGGGGCCGGAGGCAAGCCGCCTCCGGTCGCCTCCAGTCGCCTCCGGTCAGGACCGAGACTTCCCTCCGGCGCCCAGCTAAGCAGTCTCCCATAGAGACAACCCAGGACCACCTGCTAGGCCTCCCCTAGGTCACGTGAGTGTTTGTCAGAGCTTTCCATGGGATGAGTTACTTACGTGGGAAGTGTATTCATTTCATGTTCGTGTCCGAGAATCAGAGTGTCTAGTAACGTAATATGATGTCCTAGTAACGTAAATAATGTCCTAGTAACTTCAATAGAAGGTGTTATTAATGTGTCCATGTCATGTTCGTAATTAATAAAGAGTTGTAACGAAGCGGTGTTTGAGAAGTCGCCCTTAAGACGCAATAGATGTGTATTGACATAACAGATACGATAAGTGTAAATAACTATCACGGCCACGCTACCAAAATCTTCCTCTCTTTTACTCTCTTACTAAATATTCTACCTATATATATAAATATTCTTCATGTGAATATTTTGTAACTTTACAATGGTGGCAGCGAACTTAATGTAAACTCACGCCTGCCCTCGGTTAGCCATAACACCTGGCTCGTCTCATCCTTCATTTGATTCAGTCTAAGTATTGTCTACAATGGTGTAATAAGTAATTCCTGTGTCGTAGCGTCGTAGCGTGAAAAGTGTCCTAGTGCGTCATCTTTACAGCTCAAGTCAATGTCTCTCGTTGTGGTATACGCGAATTGTTACTAGCAAAACACTCCCAGGATATGTTCAGTGCTTAATATAATTTCTCAGTGTCCCCCACGTTCTGTGAAGTTCTCAGTATCCCAAGTGCATTTTAATTGTCGGTCAGTGTTAAATGTACCCATTGTGTTTTAGTGATAGAAGCGGTGTCTGTACTAACTGTTATAACTTAACATGTCTTTTAACCTACATCCTCCTCCCTGTCCTAATCCTCACCTCACCCTTCCTCCCATCCCTGCCCCGCCCTGCCCCGCCCCACCGTTCCGTGCCTCGCCCCGCCCCACCGTTCCGTGCCCCGCCCCGCCAAGCCCCGGCCTGGCCCGATCAACCACGCCTCGGCCTGGCCAGCCGCGTCCCGCCTTGCCTCCGTCCTTATCACCCGCCTCGCCGCGTAAGACCTCACTAATCCCCCGTCTTTTGTCCCGTAAGCTATATGTTGATGATGATGGTTAATATAAAGTAATATTGCGATGAATGCAGAGCTTCACTCAGTGGATTTTTATGCTGTTATGATTTGTGATGTACTCTTTGACGCGTAGT